GAAAGAGAGTTTGTTGGGAGCCTGAGAGAGGAGAGGCTTAGGGGAAGCAAAGAGGAAGAGGAGAGAGACAGCGGTGAGTAAGAGATCGGGAAGGGCGGAGGCGGAGGTGCTGCGGCGGTTCCCGATGTGCCGTTGCGGCGGAGGTGGGTCAGAGGACATGACAATTACGAAAATGCCCAGAGCGTAGGATCTGGAACTCTCTGAAGGTGAGGGGTAGGGACGGGAAGCTGTCGTCCATGTCCACAATGGAATCCGGCAGACGATTTTCTTCCCTGGTTAAAAATTACGTGTCGTAAAGAAACAAGAGGCGGAGATTGGGTCAATTCAAAGACCGCTAGATTCTGGTTTGCACATTGGACCTTATATTTTAAAATATTACAAAATCAACCCCGTACGGCAGAGTAAGGGCACTGCATTTGCAACCAAACAAGTGTTAGGAAAAAAAAAAGCCTTTTGTTTTTGCCAAATCTCCAAAACAAAAAGTTAATCGAAAACTATGTACAAAAGTTTTGATTTTGTAAATCAAAAATCTATTTTGTAGTATATTTAATTATCTTATTTTTTATCTTTTTAAAATTTTATACTGTATAAACACTTTTTCTCTTTTTTTTTTCTCACTATTTTTTTTTGTATCTACTAACATTGCCTAAGAAAACTAACGACGATGACAGGAATTTCACGACTACCATTGTGATCACCACCACTCGCATCTCTTATCTTTTGTAGGTTTATTATCTCCCAATTTTATTTTTTTTAAAATCTTTTATCTTTTTTTTTTAAATATAGATTATATAGCGAAACAAAACGATACTAAACGTTTAACCACCATTACAATTGTCTCCATTATCATCTTTCGGTAGCAAGGCAACATGGGCCAGGGATAACGAGAGTTAAAAAAAAACAAGATTTTAAATAGTAAATAATAAAATAAAAAATATTTTAGATAATTGATCATAAAAGCATATTTCCTCCGTAGTCGATGAATAAAAGCACAAGTATCCAAATTTTCGACTTCAAAACTCCGACACAAAGTCTATCAGTTCACTGGAAACAGACACAAGTCCAAGAAATGGAAGAGGGCAAAGGACAGAGTACGTGAAGATCCACAATCCACTACACAAAGACATTGCCCTCCCACCTCACACAGTTCTCTTCAGACACTCTCGCTGCTCAATCAATCACTGCCTTCACGAACCTGAGAGAGGGATATCAAAAACCCAATTCATAGATCAGGTTACTGCGGGTCCATTTTGTTATTTTTTATAGGGAATTACACACCCTGATTATTCTACTAGCTTAATCACTAAGGCCTAAACCCACATTATTCCCTTAACCCAACAATAAATGTAAAAACCCAACAAAATTAATCTATCAGATTCTTACCCAGCAGAGATAGAGGCCGAGTTAGAATGATTTTAAACGTGCAAAAACCTCTACTCTCTTTACCAAATTTGTGCAAGTTCTTGTTTCTATCCTAAGATTTTACGCGAATCCTTTTAGTTTAGGATTCTTCTATCTTTCCCTTGAAAAGGATTCTCAGAAACTCATCCTCAGCTAAAATTTGGTTTTTACCTTGGCAGGGGATTCTGACCTAGACCTGGATCTGGACCTTGATCTCGACGATGCCCTACAGTGGAATAACAAAAAAAGGACTTGTCTCCATGACAGAAATATATATATATATAGAAAGAGAGACAGAGAGAGAGAGAGAGAGAGAGAGAGAGAGAGAGCTCGCCTGGGAGACTTCTTGGCAGGTGATGGAGATCTAGATTTTGACACTGATCTGGAATGAGACCGTCTTGGTGATTTACTGCAAAACAGTAATAATGGACAAACTGCATAATCCAACTCACAAAAAACAAAGAAAAAGAGCAATATAGAGTATGACATTGGCTTTTATCACCTCACGTCCTTTTTTGGACTCTTGCTTCTACTTTGGCTGCGGCTATGCCCTCTGCTACGGCTACGGCTAC